CACTACTATCGTAAAAGCTGAGCACAACAACGCCCATCGCCAGTGATGCTTACCCATTCACGGTGCTGATCTGGCTCTCCATTAGCTAGCTCCCCATTGGCCATACCTGGTTTTTGTTACTATGAACTATTGCGTTTTGGTCGAAGCTGATGCAAGCCTAAGATAACTCAACAGTTCTATGAACATGTCTCCATAATTTCTTGCATTCAACTGAAAGAAAAGTATTACATTTCCATGAAAGGCAGGTATGTCTTCCTTTTTAAATTTTTGTGACAGGAATCATGAGGCCAGCACCAAAACCTCAGGATTGTAGGATTATTAGCAGGGGCAAATGCTTGTAGTGCTATACTGAAATGGTGTATATATCGCGTACATGCCAGCTTGCATGCCTTTCAGGCAAACAAATAGCAATGGTCGTGTCTTCGAACAGTGGGTCATGAGACAGCCCAAGACTTCCAGTGTCCTGTTTGGGAACCACAGGAAAATGGTTACATTGCAAACTTCAAATGCCCAGAGCGAGGATGATCTGGCAGTTTTTTTTAATTTGACCAGCTTAAATGAAACGAGGAAGCGGAACAGCAACGTGACTGTCACCCGCGTGTAAAAATACTTCAGTCTTCTCTGTCCAATTTCCAGACACGCGCTCCTGCGGGTGAATTGGTCGCCCTGGTTGGAGGGAATACCCTTTCTAACGTTTTTCTATGCCGGAATTTGTGTTCACAGAATTCACTCTTTCATGTTTGAATTGACACGTCTCGAAACATCTCACACCTATCATATTTTCTTTTTCGAGAACAGGTTTATTTCCCAATAATTATTCGAATCGAAACCCGATAATCCAGGGATACAAATATATTTACTAACCATAAAAAAGTAATAAATGGTTATTGTTGTAATGAACACCCTTATGAAGAAATGTGAGAACCACTTTTCATAGGCCTACCCTGCCTTCAACCTCCACCCCACATCAACATCTGAAATTAACAAAGCCCATTTCCCACTGCTAACTTGACAGTTTATTCAGTCGTGACTTTCGTCATGACCTTCGTTGAATTCGAGTCCGTTAAAGGTTTCAACGAGGGTGATTCGATTCCAAGTTGCCCCTCATGAAGGGCAGGAGTGCTTGCGAGTCTCCCCCGTGTTTACAGAATCTACCTGAGTAATGGGATTCGCGACGGTCGAGGATTGGAGGGAAAGTTTTTTTTTATTAGGTGACAAAATGATATTCCCTTAACTGAAAGTAGGACCACTAATGGACCCGGCTTGCCCCGCATGTTTAGATAGTAATTTATGTCATCACTCACCAATAATAATGAACTTGTCACCAAGTATTTACAACCCCCTGAACTACTGATTTCCGCCACCAAATCACAATGAATCTTCACAAAATTGAAGTCAGTTACCAAATTTTTATTTTAAATTTCATTAAATATGATTACACAATCACGGATGCTGGCGTCACCAATTCCAAATTAACTTGCACAAAAAATATGGTATCATTATCAAACTGTTAAAATTTCCATCATTTTCAATCTCATCAAGGAAATAAATTTTTATTAATTTCTTAATCGACCTGTGATGGCAAAATGAAAATGTTAGATTATACGCTTGGAAGGGCCTTCGAGGGGCGAACCTGAGTAACTAGTCTCCTTGGGCTTGTGAATAGTTCAGTACAACGCTGACTTCCAGTTTCTGTTTTTTTCTACATATTATTGGTGCATTGGCGACTAGAGAGTTTGACAGCATAGAAACAAGGATACGCCTTCATTGCCTGCAGTGACGGCAACACCACAAGGGAAAAGGTTAGTAAAAGTGCCCAAGAATATCTGATCAGAAAACTAGAGCATTGGGCGAACTTGTAGATAGCAAGACTCTCCCTCTGAGTGGTGACAGCTCCAAATTGTAAATGCACGTGTCCAGTTTGGATCAAGACTAGCATTTGCTAGCATTCACTCGGAATGCTAATTCACAGCCAGGATAGTCAGTATCCACTGCCCTGCAGGCCCGCTAAAAGAAAAAATTCATTCTTTTGACTCGTGAAATGTGACAATGATTTGGTGCTAATAAAATTTGGTGGTCGTTTCATGGCATCTGGTGAAAATACTAAGGGAAAATTTGCCATTACATTTATTTGATCTGGTAATGAAATGATCTGGTTGCTGCAGGTTATAACATTGTGGTGATGTAAATACATTGAGTGAGGAAATAATAACACCTGGTGAAGAATCATTACTTCTTCGTGACAGAGTCCATATTATTTGGTGACAAATTAGGCACTAACTATTTAGATATACAAATAATTCGATTCCTCCAATGATTTTCGCATGTGATGGGTTTTACCTTCACAATCGTTCGCTTTACGTTCGAGTGTCATACGGCAAATCGTGAGGTATTCATGATAAGGATTCTTTTCACGAACCAGCTTCAGAGCATCATTTAGGTCATTGTTAATCAACTGAGTGATTTGAGATAAAATTGACGAACCAAACAAATAGTGAAAAACCTTTAAAATGTTCCATCGACATTTTCAGCGAATGAACCTTGTGTGCATTTGCACTCAAGGAATACCGACAGAAGACTCACATACACAGAGAATCTGTCGAGGAATTTGAGTGACGCCGACGGTTTCATCCTCGGAGAACTGGATTTCTGATGGCGTTCCCTTCCCTGCCTGCTCGACGGCCACTTCGTTCGTCATGCTCTCGCCCTCCAGGAATCACACAAGGCGCTGAGTCGTTTCCGATTTAGTTGGTCATCCGGTAACCGAGTCTTGGAGACTTGGAGTGCAGAAGGCAGGCAGTCATCCGGATTTAAGCCTCAACTCTATCTACAGTGGGTCAATGAAAAATTCAATGCAATAAATGTATTCCCTGATTAAGTACATAAAGTGACAATGCCGAATCCCGTGCGAAAGAGGTACCGCGACACGATTACATCGAAATAAGCATTTCTACTGCGAAATGACTGTCTGCAGCGCCACGAGTGACGTCGCTTTCCCATCCTCATGCGACTATGAAGTGGGCTGGATCCTCTAGTACATACCATGTTCTCGTCCTTCGGGTCGTCAGAAGCCTTCTCCAATGAGTTATTACGTTGCGCGTTATCATATCTATATCGGACTTATTCCGGATGTCATTTGGAATTATGCTGTGAAACTCGACTGGCCCTGTCGAGACTGTGCACACTTATCGAAACACATATTGATTCTCGAGGCCGAACGTGATAATATCAGGGCAATCCTTTCAGAGGAAATCGGGAACAAGTAGAGTAGTGAAGTGCTCATCTTCGAGAGGGGATCACACGAAGAAGCTGAAGATGCTAACCATCTATCTAGAACATCACTTTGTCAGAGAATACAATTTCGAATTTTGCTCTCTGAGCGTCAATTTGCGGGCTGTAGTTACGGAGAATGCCATCCCCTGGGATCCCTGAACCCAACGCTTCCGTCTTCGTCTGCTCCAGCTGAAGAGGTTCTCTCCCTGTGAGGAAGTAATGAATGAATTGGGTCCCGAATGGATACTGTGGTAAGAAGCTCAAACTCACAAGTGATGACGGCCATTCTCTTTCTCCCTAGTTTTTCCCTCGGCTTCCTTCAACCGCACATGACCAAGTCCAACATCCACTCCAACACTTCTAAAACGGAGACGAAGGACAGACCAGCGTAGAGGCCAAGCAATACGCCTAGTGTACCGGTGAAGCCCACTACCTGTTCGAATAAAAAACTTCCCCTTTTTAAATCTCTCGAATGGCCTCAGACATTTTTAGCCAGGCAGCTCTAGGTAAGGATGGCTTCGATCATGCTGAAAGACAAATGGTTTTCATCGATCTCATGAATCACATTTAGGTGGAGGTCTTGAATATTTTCAAAGAAAAATATACGGCGAACTGGGAATTGAAGGGATCCATATATGATGCCTTGTCTAATCCCAAGTTTTCCCGTCTATCAGGCAGTAATTGAGAAAATGAAAAATGACAGAATTTCTCATTTTTCATGAAGTATATACATTTTTTGGTTGTAAATAATTAAAGTTTAATTGCGCAGTATATCATTTTTAAAGTTTCCTAATTCGAAACTTTCTCGCCCTAAACTATTTGAGATATCTTGGTAAATGGAGGGAAAGTTGATCGTTTTAACAAGAGGATAATGTATAGTCAATTCATATAAGAAAAACGAATTTGTTATTGCTCAAAGGCTCATCCTTCCTATGATTAATGAACACATGAGTAAAGTAAACAATCTGTCTTCACAGTCCTGATGGGTTACATGTCAAGGATGTCCAGTGGGGATTTTGTCTCTGTCACCTCTCTCTATCCTGCACTTTGACCTGTCCCGTGGATGAGAGAAAGTAGTTATCGTACTACATATGATCTTTTTGCCAGTCAAATATTAATTTCATGCACGTGAATAGCAAATCCTTAAATTATTTCAGCGACAACTAAAATTTCACGAATCAATTGAACTCTTTTTTATCCATGTATCTTGATCTGCATTGGGATCTATCCTTCTCTCCCTTTTTCCTCCATTATTATATGGAAGAAGACACATCGGGCTTTTAGTTATCTAAGTATTTTGCAGCGCCGTTATCCAAGTAGTGAATTAACTAAAAACGATTTTCAACAAATATCGCAGACAATAAATTGACTAGCAGTGCTTGATTTCAAGTGCGACCTCTCCGACTTGGGTCATGGGTCATGGGATTCTGGAAACTTTTACAAATTTTTTTCGCACAAAGAAAACAGGAGTTTCTGCAATTCGCTCAGTTGTCATCGTTTCGTAGTAGATGTTCACCACAGCAATGCTCGCGTCATCTCTGTAGAGAGATTTTTGAATGCTGACAGACATTATTCATGCTCATTTCCATCCGAAACCCGTTGAGTTTTATTCTCTCGTCCAGCTGAATACGAATCCACGCACGGAAACTGCAATGCCCATATTGGACAGAGCCTTGATGCTGCCTAATACTTCAATGACGATGTGACAGAACAGACGTGGGTTGGCTTCAGAAGGTCTCCGTCATCAGATCCTTTTTGATTGGAGTCTTCCCCTTCTTGTCCCTTAACCAGGCGATGAGGCCCAAGAGCAATGCGTGCTGAGGAACTGTCTGCGCCGCCGACAAAAACCATTGATGCCTCTCCTCCCTGAAGCAAGCAGGAATCGGGGCCTTGCCCTCAAATATTCAACGAGAGATGCGTCAATTTGCAAGCTCACGTGCAGGGTTGGGGGCAGAAACAAGAAGTCTCCTCATCCATATTGATGTTCTTCAGAATGTCCACGGACTTCATGCGAGCGTTCCGTGAGATATTAAAGGGAAAATTGTGGTTACAACTTCCGTATCGGCTTTGAAAGGTCTCCACCGCTATGTTTGAAGTTTTCAGAGACGAAAGAATCGGCTTAACCAAAAGAACCCAAGTCGAAAGCCCTTACCTTGCCTATTGCAATATTCCGACACGTTCACTTCGTTTTGCAGAAGAGGAGACTCCAAGTAGCACTGAGTTGTTGCATTCTGATGTATGCGCCAAAGCTTGTACATCTCCAGACAGAGCTGATTCGATGGGGCAAATAAACATATATATGAAATGAGGGAATACAAACGCCTTGCACCGATGCAACCAGATAATAAATTCTCACAACAATCGTGTGAAAGTTTCTGAGCTGAAAATGTATTTATTTGTAATGAAGGTACGATTTCCTACAAAGGGATGAAGTTGCTCTTTAAAATATGATTCACGCAATCTCCGTATACCTTTTTGGAATATTTGTTTTCATCTGAAACCTTGAAAATCCTTTTGTCAAAGCGTTCCTGTAGGTAAGAATCGAAGGCGCAATCTGTATCTGGAGGAAGGCGTTCAAAACTCATCTTCCTCACGCCAACGTATGAATTCATATTGAGGCCGACATCGAAGCCCTCCCCGAGGGTGTCGGGCTCCGCCTTCGGATGGTTGACGGCGACACGGAATCCCTTGGCCGGGCCGAGGAGGACTAACTCGTTCGAGGCGTTCCAGAGCAACCTCAGGTGCAGCCCGCCCTGTGGAGGGATAGAGTCGCTGAGATCCGCATCGGCTTGCGACGTGCTTTCATGGGCGAGGTGACCTTACCGATGACCCAGACCGGCTGACGCGTTTGTCGCCCTTGTAGTTGTAGGTCAGGCATTGCCCATGGTTTGAATCGTTCTTGATCCTGAAGTCGCTGGAAATACGATACAGTTACAAAACATTGCAAGTACCTACTCGTTTTAGTTTTCATGAAAGCTTCTGGCGATTGATGAAATGTCCTTCGGTGAGTGTATAGAATGAATTCACTCGTTCTTTGCACGGTATTAATACTGAGTGATCCAAAACTTTCCCTTAAATACAAAATTTACCTAATACGGTACTTCCTGAGACGAATAATATCAGACACATACTCCTGATTGCAAGGTACATCACTGAAGCTGCAATGCTGTATGGACTTCATGATGTCGCTGATGGCGTCGGCCAGATTTATATATTCCCGGAAGTCGCTCAACGTGTAGAAACTGGTCAGAAGCAGCATCGAGAGAAAATCGTCAACTTTAACAGTCTCGTTGCTGATTTTTCTCGTTCCATCTACGGAAGGAAGTTAGTTTTATGTCTTTCAGCGCAAGAATTTATGCCAGGAATGCCTGTCATCTGGCTTGACAATGCCACATCAGGACTGCACCTACTTTTCGTTTCGTCTCCTGAGTCCACCCGGATCCCATCGGCTTCGAAGATTTTCCGGAGATCGTCCTCGTCGTAGTTCTCTTCCCACGAAACCTCAGAAGTACCGAACGGTGTCGAGCTCTCGACTCGGCCGTCAGCTGGAGGCTGCGCCGTCGCGATTCTGATCGATGCGATGTTCTTTGAGTTCATTATCGATGTGGGGGAATTAGGGCCTGAGTAATAATTTAAGCCCTAAAGCCAACTGTGGCTTGTGGAATTTCATGAGAATTTGAATCCATTTCAGTCGTAGTATTAGCTGAGTATGAGGAGAGCTCTGACGTTGGTCCATCCACTTGTCCCGTCGGTCCGGAGGAACTCAGGGCATCATTTGCTGCTGAGTGAAAACATTATCATGTGGTGCAGCTCGACAAAGACATTTTCATGAAACGAGGAATGGCATTGTAAACCTACGGTACAGGTGAACGAAGGGCTTGATGCAGTTACTCTGCCCCATATCCTGTTTCGTATCGTCGTTTAACGGGAAAACGACAGTCGTCAGGTGGCTTATGTCCCCGGGCTGTAAGATGTCATCGAGCGCTCCTTCGAGGTCCTCGTTCAGCTCGAAGAGATTCTTGAATTTGGACAGTGTCGGCTCATCGTCTAGGTTTTTCCACAGAGGGCTGTAGGCGCAGATCGTGACGGATGGGAAATCCAGTTCCTTGTCCGTTTTCAGCTAGACAGAAGCTACGATCATTCGCCAAGTCTTGCTGGGAAGATGAAAAATCTCAGGATCATCCTACCTCTATCATGGTCGCCTTCGCGCCCGAGTTGTAAGTCTTGATCGCGTCGACGATGAGGTAAACCATGTGGCCCATGGCGACGAGAAAGATTAGGAGCCAGAAGAGTCTCCTGAATGGAGACGAATCCCGGTACGCTGAACGTCCCAGGCCCTGCATGAAAAAGTCAATTCGACGATTCCGTGAAGAAGGAGACGGGAGGAAAAAAAAAAGTTATGGAAATAATAAACTTTAGTCGTGACATATTATTTGGAAGCTTTTACTGTCAGTCAAGTATGTAAGTTTAATGTGCCATATTATGCCCCCAAAAAATTGGATTCGATTTTTTACGAACATAACTCAAAACTCCGAAAAACATTTTTTTTTTTACATTGGATCTCTTGGATAATTTCAAAGCGAATCTGAAGTTTATTTTGAGATTCTTCTATATCGTCCTATCTTCATATGGGCAGCTCCGATTCACTTCACGAAATACAACATTAGAGAAATCGCCACCCTAGGGAGACGCGACTGATTGTTCGTTCGAGCTCCATTGCTTCGTCGAACGCTGTGCACTTCTAGAATCTTGGAGCAATAGATTATAAATTCGCTCGACGAAGGGGAGAGTGTGAGAGAAACTTGGACGTGATAAACTTCATGAATATGCAAAACATACGTGACGGTCCATGTACTGTTTCACGCAGATTTGAGGCTCGAAAGAAGCTGCTGTGAGTTTGTACGGTCAAGTTCTGATTCATATTCCTGGTTCGCGATGAATGCAGCAATTGGCTGTTTAGTACCGTTGCTGCCTATATTTTTTTGTGGTATGCTTGGTGGGACAATGATCCCAAATGGCAAATCCAGACGTAGTTCACTGGCGATAGGTGCCCTAGGAATTTTCGGATTTTGGCCCGGCGGCTCCAATGACATATCATTTCATTGATGAATCGCTTGATGATCGATTGACATATCCCTTCATTATCTCTGGAAACAAATAGGCCTGATGACTGTCTCGTCGGTTTCGAAAACTAGACTTATTCCTGTGACCATTTTGCATACATTTATCGAGACATATTTGGTCTGGTTACAGGTAGAGGCTGAGGTACAACATTTTATTCTTCATGGTATTCTTCATGATACGTTTGCCCCGATAGGCCTAGGAATTTGCGCCATGTGAAAGTGTCACTGTCATTCAAGCCCACCACGAAAATGTGTAAAAAAAGACTTTGACATTTGTTGGAGAGCATACCAAGACCTAAGATGCACGAAGTACACACAAACATTGGGTATACAAAAGAGTCTGTGCTTGCGAAATCATGTTGCTTGAAATGTAATGTTTGAATCTCCCATCTGAGCATCAAAATAACCAATTCTGTGCCTGCAATTATCAAATTAGCCTGAGAGCGTTTCAATTTGTCATATTGACTCATGCCATATGTGATCAGTTTTAAAAATGTGAATGTCTTAAATGCCCATTCCGTGGTATTAAGAAGCTGATGCCTGAAAGTGAGCAATCACTTCATGTTTCAGAATGAAAACATGAAAATCTAGATTTTACATATATATATCGGATGCAAGTTAACCTTTCCGGGCAAGTTGAACTTGCTTAAAATATACTGTGCAACTTTAACCCGTCCAAATTTCCCTATGCAAGTTAACCCAAACGATGGGCTTCTGTGCAAGTTCAGGAGGAATATCTATACCCCTAATGATATATAGTTATATGATTTTTATCGAGAAAAATACTAATATATAGTCCGCATGGCCTTGGGAAAACGATAAGGGAGGTGCCTTCATCCTTTTTGCTTTCACTGACATCCTTATTCTCTCACCTTGTTCAGCGCGATACAAGTGAGAGTGAGCGTTTTCGTCTGATTAATCCTCATTCAAATCCGTGATATTGGGCAGTAAAACCCCGTTCAATGATTATCTGTTGTGGCTCTAAGAGAAGACCATGTCTCCCAACAACACGGTGTTCCCGATTGATAGGTACGAGAGGCTCGTCGCGGAGGTCAAGGCTACAAATATCAATGAGAAGAAAGCCCGGCTAGAGCACGGGAAGGCCATCCTGAAGCACTAGGACGTCGAGGGATGAAGAGAAGCTTGCCAGAAAGGAGAATGATCAGTGGCGTAATTTGGCTTAAGGGTCTGGGGTGGGGGTCAAGCCCCACCCATGCGTTATCACGGGAAAAAAAGTATTACGTCCATAGAGACGCCAGACTCAATCGCAGGGGCACCAGTGAGGTAGCTGTACCCCCCCCCCCCCGAACTCCCTCCTGTCCCCCTTAAATTACGCCATTGCGAACAATCCATCTAAATTTAAGAAAAAACAAAATATGCCAATAATACCCAGTGCAACTCTCGATGCCACGGATCATGATTGTGTTCCAACATATGAATCGAAAAAGTGTGCTTAACAGAAAGGCTTCAATGCAGACAATGACAAAGTTGTTACAGATTCTTCAATCATGGATAATTTGACATCATGAAGCAGTCACTTCATTTATTCATTAGGGTGATCAACTAATTCATATCGTGGTGTTTGACACACTGGCTCGAAAAGAAACCAAGTGCCGGTGGCCAAAGGCATACAATCATTATTCTGACCGGGATGAAGCGCTTCTCTGAACTTGCACGAAAATGTGCAATACGGATTAACATGGACAAAGGTTTGGCCATGCAAGTTCAATCTGCACGTATTGGTCGACTGTTCAAGTTAACCCACGACGATTTGGCCGTGCAAGTTCAACTTGCAAGGGGGGGTCAACTTGCATGCGACATATTACAGTATATGACTTTACTGCTGAACCTGACTGAGGTTGGTATCCTATTTCACAGAAAACTACAACTGAGCAATACAGGATATTATAATCTTTAGGTGGAGCCTCCTGAGAGCCAATGCAGGGAAATATATACGAGGTGTGGTTATTATGTTTCCAGACTGGTTTTATTACTGAACTTTGAGAGAGAGGAGGGGAGTGGGGCTATGACAGTAACATGGAGGGGAGCCTTAGCTTATAACCGGGCAAGTTTCAATGTGGTCTGACCAGTGCGCTGCGAGCTGCGACCCGTTAAGATAGACCGTATTTGTGTGCGCTGGCGGATTTGAAATGGAGCGTAAAACTGCAGGATCGTTGGGATAAGTGTATACGTTCTGGAGGGGAGTACTTTGAAGGCGATAAATGTGATTAATTTGTAAGTTTAAAAATACATAATTAAAAAACAAAGTCTGGAAACTTAATAGCCACACCTCGTATATATTTATTTATTTTCTCCCCCTAGGAACGTAACCCTGGGGGACCAAGTCATTCGCACCAGAAAAGAAAATTGGGGGAAAGGAATCATGAAGGAAACTCTAAAAGCCAGAATACCTCTCATTCCGACAAGCACTTTCAGTGCATGAACCCTGCATGCATTCTCACGATTGCGGATGGAAGACTCACATTCCCAGAGAATCTGTCGAGGAATCTCAGGGTGACACGTCTGGCGCCGATGGCTTCATCCTCTGCGAACTGGATTTCTGATACCATTCTCTTCCCGATCTGCTCGATGACCACTTTGCTCGACATACCCTAACCCTCGAGGAATCCCACGAGTCGTTTAATAGTTCGAACTGAGTTTACCACACGGGAAACAAGACTTGTAGTACATGAGGCACACAATCATCCGGGTTAATGGTCCAACGATATTTGCAACGGGCAGGAGGAAAATTCAAACCATTAAGGATATTCTCTGTTTACGGAGAACAAGTGAAAGGCCGAATCCTCCACCAGCCAGGTACTGCGACGTGAGTGTTGCCACGTTTCCACTTTCAAGTTAACATGAATGAGGGAAGTGCAATTGCTCCTTGGGGAACACTGTGCTCGCTTCTGGCAAAGGAGAATATTCCCCAAGGAAGCATTTACGTCTCGTGCTGGCTTTTCACGCACTGATCCTATCGACCCCCCTTATTAATAGCACTGCTGTCGCTATCGATCAGCTGATCTCGTCCTCCCATCTGACCTTGCGCGCTTAATATCGTTCCTAGGGCAAGGTTCTTCGATGTTAAAGGAACGAGGGTGAGGGAATGGGGCTCCCTGGTTCGTCTTTGAGTGTCATTCGATAATGGCAATCACGATTATTTGATTCGTCCGTAGGAAGGTTGTAAAAACGAAATGCCCTTTGGCATTAGGACTACCTGGGTCCTCATGGGTCCCATTGCTTATGATTGATTGCTTATGAGCAAACAAAGGAGCAGGGAATTTTACTCTAGCAAGAGTAAAATTCCCTGCTCCTTTGTTTGACGATTGGTAACAGTTAGTAATTTGCATGGTAAAGCTCATCCAGTCCAATGGTAAAGTGAAGTCAATTCAATTTACAGGTATATGCCAAACATGCCGAGGCGCCCAATCGGGAATACAATTTATAAAAGAAAATGGAGGGGGACACAGCAGCATGCTCTCCACCCTGAATGTGTCCCAGTTGTAATGGCACAAATTGTATCAATGTTTGCACTTTTTTAACTGTTATAATCCCAATGTGTCGTATATCGGAACTTCCAAAAGGAAGAAAATCATGCTTGAAGCGAAGGGGTTAAATAACCTCACACCAGAAATATTAAGTAGGCTCTTTAACTATTTTTCCCTTTTACCAAAGGCAATTTGCAGAAAAATACCAAGATCACACAGCGGAGTTTCCCCCCCGCTTCTTTTCTTGACGAATGTTAATGTCGTTGTGCTTTTTGAACTACGTGGGTCCAAGACCCAAGTTGCACATAGCATTGAAACAACATTGAATCAATGTTGAGTCATTGTTATGTGCTACTTTGGGAATTGCGAATAAGCAATACAAATTCGAGTACCCTTATTGAATAGATAAGAGGTAGATTATATTCACCCTAGTGATACTATCCAAATAATCCAGGAACAGTGGAAGTATGGACTGGTCGAGTCGATCGCACTTTTCCACATAAACAACTTGGCGTGATGCGACGAATAAGCGACAGGTCATGCAACTCCCTTCATCGAAGCTCAAAGGACGTAATGAATACCAATGTCTCATAAATATTACAAGAAGTGAACGACCTTACCATTTTAGTGCTGTTAGCACTAACAACTGTAAAATCGGAAACGTCTCCCTGACGAAAGAAGCGCCATTGGATGCTGAATCCTTTCTTGCCGCGAACGGGCGAAGGTGTCTGATTTCTGTCGTTTCTTGCCTCGATCGGTGCGCGGACTTCCATCGGTCTTCCATTATCTGGAAGTCTGTGATCGTGGTGTGCGGGGAGGGGTGTTGTCATCTTCGCGACGGGTAGTGAAGCCTACCATGCCCCCAACTATCGATATTGACATCCAAACTTCGATGGATGCTTCGGGGCAGCCCTAATTTTTTCCAACGGCCATTGAGAATCTGTTATAAAGTCCCGTTCACTTGGCTTTTTTTTCCTTTGTTCTGCACGTTCTACTTTAGATATCATCACCACCGATATCTTCTAAACCTGCCAATGGTGCCATACCGACAGTTGTCATCGGTACAGTCCTAAAATAGCTTATCCTCGAATTCAGTGGTCTATGGGGCTTATAATAATTTATGTATGAGATTATGAGACACATCGGAGATCCCGGGTATCGTTATGGTCATCTGATGTTTCTTCAACCATCTCGACTAGGACTTCTGTCAAAAGTTTGTTCAAAATTCAATTACATGTGCGACGTCATCAGCAGCAAGCAGGGATGTATATGCATGATATACTCAAAATTAGGGCCGTACCGATGTATCGACTAACATTGGTATCGGCCGCCGGTGTTGCACTGTCGGCGCCATCGTGCTATGGCAACGGTGCCGGTTCCGATGCCCAAATGATGGGCCAAGAGAAAAAAGAATTAGGTGAGGGTGTGAACGCGCCTCGGCGGCGACCCTCTTCGGCCACTCCGGCCATCCTCTCTAAGGCAAAAATACCGATCGGATTATGTTACAGCCGTATTGTAGGAACCGGCAGAGGAAAGCAGTGGTAAAGAACGGGAAATCATAGCCTCTCCATTTACATTATGCTGTTGCGAAGGATGCGTCACTAAATGCTGTCAACTGCAGCAATGGGTAGCGAGCTACCCACGGACAGAAGCATTCAGAGATAGATAGGCTGGGCAGAACCAAAAGTGATCTCTATCGATTCAAGGAAGCCTACTGATTAGGATCACATGCCTTTCAAAAAGGCCTTACTTTCCTCCGCCAATGAACGCATACTACATGAAAGATTAACTTAAAAGGAACCCACAGGTGTTCATTTCAACAATCCAGGACACCGGCAAACTGGTATAATCATCCTCCCCTTCGAAAAAGGTAAGGTCAAACGAGCAGACCATCGTTAAACGTTAAATCATTAGGATTGGAATGCTGAAGCCGTTTCGGAATTCACTGTGACCTCTCTCCCATTATCTTTTTCATTCCTCATTTGCTGCTTTAATGAGACGGTCTAAGATCGTGTGTTTTATCCCTATTAATCCTAATACATATCAATATGCATACACTTTTATAACTTTTAATGTATTCCTTGGCATTTTTTTTATGTTTTTCACAATTCATTAGAACATCTTATATCCTATCCTTTAATTCGAAGAGATCAAAAGCTGCGGTGGTGGTGGTCGTGGCTGTCACCCCCAACGCGCAGGCCTACGATGGAATCCCATTCTGGATCATAGGCCAGGCCTACAAGGCTACGCCTTTCCAGGCCATCTTATACTTTAATTCGTAGAGCCCCAGCGCGTGGCCTACAACACTGCGTTACTGCAGGCCATAGGCTACGCCATCCACCCCTCAAAGCGCCAGGTCCTTGAGACTCTGGTATTCTAGGCCATAGGCCTGGCCATCCAACGCTTTTAGCGCCAGGTATATCAAGCTATATCAGTCCGAGTCATAGACTTCATACTTAGCTGCGACAATCAAAGGGTGGTAATAACTGAATGCCTGTCACGTTTTCACTGATCGACTGCAAGTGCTCCATCT